AGTCAATGTCACCGTCCACTGATGCAAGCCGTGAATACTCAAGGTTGGAAAATGAACGCTGGCAGGAAGGACTGTACTTCCCTGGACCCAGCCCTAGAAGGCCCATGTTCTTAGTTCTGAGCAAGCTGCACTCTGGGAGTTCGTTCAAGTTCATCTTTGGACACTAGCAACCTACCTGCCTGGGATTCATCCCCAGTTAAATGATTGGATGAGACCGAGGCTGGAGATGCGGAGGGAACTTTCATGGTGGCGAGAAGCCCCTAGAGGTGTTAGGAAAAATCAAAAGCCTTATCCAGGGAATGGGGCCAAAGCACACAGACGTCACTTGGCAGCAGGATCATGTTGCATCGGAATGATGGGGCTGGGGGAGGGGTGTTTCATGTGGTGGCTGTCCTACCTGGCACAAGAGTCCCTCTTAGAGACCTTTTCACCCTAATAAATGGAAGCCAAAGGGAACTGACATTTACTGAGCTCCTCCTGTATGCAGACACAGGGACATGTATGTTGCATGTACTGTCTCTTAAAATAGTCTCCCAGCAGTTTTGTAAGCAATTATTCCCTCCAATGTACAGACAGGGAAACTGAGGCGCGGGGAGGTCAGGAAACTTGAATCAAACCTGATTTAGCTAATGTATGATGAAACCAGCGTTGAGTTGATTCCCAAACTGGAGGAGGAGCGGGTCTCAATTTTGGTGAGAGACCCTGGAAAACCAATAAGTGGATTGGGCTTGGTAGGATGATTTGAAAAGCATTCCTTGTGTTTCTCCTGAGTGTCCCCCAGTCTGCTCTGAAGCCTGACGGCCCATCCCTTCCAGGGCTTTCTACCTGAGATGTGAAGGATACAGAAACCGCCCCCTCTAGGGGGAGAAGGAAGGGCGAACCACGCTTCCCCACCACTCCACTTCCAGAAATTTACCACACCCACGCAGCAGGCCAAGGCCACAGCACTGCGGCTGGGTTTGCTACTGTGAGCCATCTGGGTCCTGTTGAGGGGGGCAGGCAGCGGGAGGCCCAGTAGCGAGGCTGGGACCCAGACCATGCCAGACCCAAGGAGAGAGTGTGGCTCTCTGAGGCAGGTCTGCAGGTCCTGCCTTCTCTGCAAATTAGAATCAGCCCCTGTAATTAGCAAAGGCCAGGTCCGTGGGCCTTCTTCATGAATCCTGCGCCCAGGTTCCGAGGATGAAAGGAGAGATCCATCAGCAGGAGCACTCCGCCGCCGCTAATTAAGACAAGTCCTGTGCACCATCCACGTGACCTTGACTTAACTGATTTGCTTAAAGAGCTCCAGAGCCCTTCTCCTCAGGGAGAAGAGCTGGGAGGGGACAATGGGGGCACTTGAGAAGCAGAAACGAATCGGACTGGCAAGCCGGGGAGCCACCTGGGCCTGGAGTTGGCCGCAGCCATGGACCGACATCTGTGGTTTTTGTCGTTCGTTCAACACCATCCTCTCTACTGAGATCCTCTGATTGGGATGGGCCTGCCAATCACAGGTTTCTACCCAATCCCCTGGCCACAGGGGCGGGACGTAGGATCCAGGCTCAGCCAATCAGAGCGCCTTGTTTGCCTGACCTCCAAGGTGCAGAGTTGGAGCCTCTCTTTTGGCAAGGAACCGGAAGGGCGCTGATGTTTTTGAAGTATGGAGTTTGAAGGCCAAGAAGAATGGGCTTGTGGAGCCTTATGTCTCTACCTGGCGGAGTCGGCTCCCCAACTAGGGGCCAACTAGACTCCAACTGGGGCCAGAAAAAGTGGAGAAAGGGGGACTGAGTGAGTATTGAGGCTTTAGCTCCAGTTCTGTGTCTCCCCTAAGTCGGCCTTGGTTCTTGTACTTTGCCTTTTAACCTCTGCCGTCTTCCACATTCCCTGGTTCAATACATTCACCTTCTGATTAAGCTTCTGTGAGTTGGTTACTGGGACTTGCAAGCGCAAGAACTCTAATGCCCACAACAGTCAGCACAAACAGGATCTCAGGGCCATTTTCTTACAAGCCCTCTGTTAGTGCTCTATGGGAATTGGATGGTGCAGCTACATACCTAAACTTGGAGGGACCCCAGTGGTCCTTGAGGGCCCCCTTTCTCTTTTATTTATCGGATGATGGGAATGAGACCTGTCTGAGAAAGAGAATTGCTATGGTCGGTCACACAGCAAGTCCCTGCAAGACCAGGGCTCAGGAGAGCCCAGGACTTGGTTCTCTGTACCTCCCATCTGGACTGGAGCTGCAGGAAGTTTCCAGAAAGAACACTTGGACAGATGCATGACATGTGAAGGCATGGGGTCCAGAGGCCCCTGAACTTGACCTCGGGTCAGCCATCTCTCCTTTGGGATTCTAGATTTAAGTTTCCACCCTTCTGACTTTCCAAGACCAGGGGAGGAGTGATTTATTCTTTTGGTTTGGTCTCACTCTCACCTGGATTAGAACTCAATTTTCAGCAGCAAAGCCTCAGAGTGACCCTACAAAAAGCCTACTGCTTCCACCAGAGGTATGGGCTTCAAAACGTGTCCCTCTCGGGACACCAAGGAGGTTGGCCCGTGAGGTGGGAGGGGCGAACTGCTAAGATGGAATTTTGGGCTCCTGCTGTAACTGGGGCATCCTTCCCCACCCCCAATTTGTAAGTCTCTTTGTTAATATAGGGGTTTTAATGTACAATTTGGTTTGAAAAAGTGTTCCCTTTAAAAGAAAGAAAAAAAAAAAAACTTGCAGCCATTACTTTAATGAACTTAGACCATTGGTGGAAATGGGTCTATGCATTACGTGTCCAAACTTGAAGGAAACTTAGGTCAAGTCAGTAAGTAGGAAAGAAATCCCAACTGAGCCTTCAATGAAATAGGTTTGGAAACCTCATTATTGGAGGTAAAAAAAAAAATCAAGGTTCACTTTCCAGTAACACAAGTTTTGACAAATGTGATCCATCAAATGATGGATATAGATGGCATCTTGGACAAATGACCCCATGCCCCTATTATTAATTCAGAAATATGACCTCATTTGCTTATTCATTCACTAGTCATGGAGTGCCAGTCCCATGGAATTGGGGACATGCTGAGTACAGGAATAAGAAAGCTGAGATTCTTATAGAGATTTTAGAAGTTTATTCTTCCCTTGAAACTAAACTATTTTTTTTTTTTAAGGACTCACCTTTGGGAGAAGAAGTTGGGTCTAAGGTCAGACTGGAAAGAGGTTTGGAAACTGAGCTTTGGGTCCATTAATCTCAAACACGAAGCCCCTGACCCTCTTGCTTGAGCAGAGCTCCGGGAGGCTGAAGCTGGCTCCCATTCTTTGGTCTCTCTGCCTGTCCAGGGAGAAGACTGCTACCCTACCTTGCTCTGGCCACTAAAATCTTATTTGTCTGTTAGTATGTTCTTTGCCTACAAGGACTTGGAATGGTGAGTTAGGGGCATCTTCACAACTCAGCCAGCTGGGCACGCCCAATCTTTGGCCATGACCTTCAGAAGCCAAGAAGAGACATCATCCCAAGCAACTCAAGCTTGGAGGAACTGGCCCTCTCAATGACGTGTCAAGGACTCCTTGGGGAACTGGAAATCTTGCTTCTAGACTTGAGCATGCTGAGTGGCTTCCGGAAGATCAGTTGACCCACCTGGTTCTCATACTTTCGCCTAATGGAATGGGCTAAAATGGATTCTTCTAGAGGAATATCAGCATTTCTACCTCTGAATGGATCTGTTAAGGTGAGGTTAGCGGCTGTAACAGATGAATTCTTAGTGGCAAAACAAAATAAATGTTGATTTCTTTTCATGTCCCTGTCAATGGTGTTACCGCTGTTGACCGGTGACGAGTTCTTGCTTCCCCAATGTTGAAGAATAACACCAAAGAAGCACGCCGAGGCAAGGTCAGAGTAGAAATTAGAAGTTTATTAAAGGACAGCAGAAAAGACTTCTCCCAGAGGAAGAAGGGGACCCAAGAGGTGGAATCCGTGGAAGTGCGGTTGTTTCCCCTTTTTATAGTTTTGGTGATGGAATGTAGGTTGGAAGGCCCGAGGGGTGGGACACAGGTGGGCCAAAGAAGTAATCTGGTCAGGAAGAACTTCTGAGTCAGCACCTTTTTGCTGGGGGCTGTTCATTAACATTTCTTTGAGGTGGACTTTGGCCTAGGGCCTTTTCAGGACTTCATTAACATTCCATGAGTTGTCCTGTGTTTTCCCTGAGTCATTCTCCGCACGGCCTCCATTTTAGATTTCACTGATATTAGACCCATATTAGACCCGATTTACCTAACTACACTGACTACCTAACTTTAAATCTGGCTTCAATGGGGTGACTCTGGTCAGGTGGCCTCTCCTGTGACCATGCAGGGACCCAAGCTCCTCCTATATGTGGCTCTGCCCACCCCTTTATGTTGCAATGATGTTTCCCAAGAGGGCAGCAGAACAGGCCTAGTAAAGGAATCCACCAACTCAAGAGGCTTCAAAACATTTCAGCTGGAAAACGGGAAATGATTGAGAGAAGAAGCTCTAGTGGAAGGGACTTTGCATCCATCGCACCAACCTTCCCAGGGGGAAGCCAGTCCTATGGCTGCGACTAAGTGCAAGGCATTCTGGGAAATGTAGTCCAACTGTGTGGCAAAGAGGAAAGAGAACCTTGTTTGCTCAAAGTGGCGAGCTCTTTGGGCTTGAAGAAACTGTGCTTGGTTAGAAGGCAGGGCCTCCTCGCAGTCTTCTAACCAAGCCCAGTTTCTTCATACCCAACTGGCTCAACACTTAGCTATAATAAGGGTTTAAAATCATAACTTTTGACCTATCCAGGGGCATCCTTGGGTCTTACAATGGCCCAGCATACTTTATGATGAGGTGCACCCATATGGCTGGGTGTTCCCAGGAAAAGCCCATTGATGCCTGGCATGCATTCAGTTGATGTCTACTCTGACTGGTGCCCCAGCTGGTAGAGTACATTATATAGTCATCCTAGTTGTCATGGTGCAGATGACAGAAGAGAATATTGAGATTGCTGGAGGATGCACGCTACGGTTCCAAAGACACACCACTTTGTTCAATAAAGACAGCATTTTTTTTTTTATTTTAAAATTCTGCATCTGAAAACACAGTATGACAGAAAGCGTCTATATACACCTGCAGTGTTTTTGGTATGATACAGTATTTAATACATCCACTCTTTTCTGCAAAAGATTTTGCTTTGTCAGACAGAAACAAACTCCCCTAGACAAAAGGAAAAATATAGCTAAGGCACAATTTTGTTGTTTTTCTGCTAAACAAAAAGACAGAAAAGGTGCAAAAAAATGAGCAGGTAATGCAATTGGTTCTGAGAATCACATTCTACCTTGAGGAAACGCATTCGGATGGTTAGAACTTTGATTATTGGTCAAATTTCAGATAGTTCAATCTCTCTTAAAATACTCCTTTAAATAAATAGCAAAATATCTACATCTTTCAGCCTGTGCCAAGTGGATTCTCTTTTTTAAAACTTTATTTACAGATTCTCTCTCTTTATTTTTTTTTAAATCAATACATTACAAAATATCTTTTCTGTACAGTTTTATGCATATTATGATCTGTAACAAAATAGTTATTTTTAAAAACTATATCACCACACATGTCTTTGAAAACAATGAGGGAGACAGTAATAACTTATCGCGAGGCCTCTAAAACAAATACCCAAATCAATGCTATTGACAACTGAATATTTTAAAAAAGAAAAAGAGACAAGAAAGAGTACAAAGACAATGGAACTCAATTCCAGTGAATTTCCTATGAAAACCCTGGGATTGTCTTTGGCCTCCGTCAGCGCTCGTGACGGAGGGAGTCGGGAATGGAGGCTGAAGGTGGGGAGAGGAGGATCCCTTGGCGAACGCGACCCATCCGCTGGGACTAATTAATACTACCACTTTCCAGGCAGGAAGGATGAAGAGATCACTTGAGAAACTCTCCTGATGGACCCTTGAACGAAGTCCGTAAAGTCACCCAGTCCTGGGTTGGGGAAATGCAAGGAGCCCCCTGTCGGTCATCAAGCCAGTCCCCTACAGGAACAGTGGGACCCGGGAGGGCTTCAGGAATCAGCTGAGGCTTAGACCAGCACCCGAGCCTTCATTGTGCCCATAGGAAAAACATGAGAACATTTTATTTTTCCCCTTAAAGATGACAGGCGTGAGCAATTTCTGTTGCACCTGCAGACTGCAAATGGACAGCCTCGCCCAGGGAGGCCGCCCGGAGAGCTTGGCGAGGCGCCTACTCCTGTGAGGGTGGTAGAAACTCTGGGGAGAGGATGGTGAGCTTTCCAAAAAGAATTTTAAGGCCACATTTCAAAAAGGAGAAACCTAAGGCTTTTGGGGGTGGGGGATGAGGTTGGATGCAAGGATGTGGGGTCAGGAGGAGCAAGTCGGAGGAGGATGCAGAAAGGACCAAATGGCATCTGGGGCAGGTGGCAAGGGGCAGGACCGCTTCCTGGTGGTGTCCTAGGCAGAGGCAGTTGGAGTATTCCCAGCCAAGTGGGGAGAGAAGAGGCCCCTTTCTCCCTGCGGGGGACTTGGCAAGAACAGAACCAGAGACAACGGGAGGGGTCGTCACAGGTGGTGCATGAAGGCCCTCCTCGGGTCTAAGAGGGTCCTATACAGTATCTTGTTTGCAAGGTAAAAAAAATAATACTTCTAAGTTAGTGAAAGAGAGAGAGAGAGAAAGAGAGACAGAGAGAGACACAGAGAGAGAGAGAGAAATAATTTGCATAGATCGTACATTCAGCTCCAGCAGGTTTGGACACCTTCCTTCCCCCCACCCCCAGGTAAACTTCTGAGCAGACACAATGAGGTAGCGCCTGTGGTTGACCCATGGGCAAAGTAAGGTAACTGAGGCAGAAGCTAGGGGACACCCCGTGAGCAAGCACAGCTCAGTGCGGTTTCTGAAGGAGCTTCCAGAGGTGGCAAGATGGTGGCCAAGACTTGGGATGTGGAGAGAGACTGGCTGTTTCACGCAGCACCCTCTTCCCCTGGGTCCCTGCCGTTTCTGCCTGGTCTGATGGAATCCTGTAAGGTGTGGACCCAGGGGGGACGAGGACCTCTGCGTGTCTACTAGGGGCAGCAGTCCAGAGCTCCAAATGGTGATCCTTATTCCCTGCTGCACAGTCTGTCTTGGGAGCAGGATTGCTGAACTGCCAGCCCTCCTCTGTGGGACAGTCTGTTTAGGAGGGGACACAGCAGCCACAGGTCCCCGTGCCCTTCAGAATTCAGCCCCAGCGACTGCCTTTCTCCAGTGCTAGCTCTTTCCCCCTCTTCCAGTGGGCAAGTGTTCACCTCACGGAGCCACTTCCCAGAGAGCAGAGATGGCTGCTAGTGCACAGTTGGAAGGATGGAATTATTTTTTTGACTCACACTCGGTTTAAGAAACAAAACAAAACAAAACAGCCGACATTGAAAAATCAGATTTTCTCAGAAAAATCTGGATTTCTGGCTTCCCTGACCAAACCGGAAAATCCCACCTCATGGAGCTTTTCTTACAGCAGGATGGGCCACACGCATGACAGACCCCTGCCCTCACCACGGCCTGGGACTCACATCAGAGGTCTCACTCATCTCTGTTCATGTCCTGGACCTCAGGAAGCATTTGGGACCCGACCGCAGTGTGTGCCTGTGCTCTGGAAAGCCACCTTGGCACGCTCAAAGCTGGACCCCTTCACGGTAGTTTCCGGTATACCCACTCCGCCTCGAAATGCTGCCAGGGACCTGGTGGCCCAGACCCCCCCGTGAAGCTGGTTGTGCAAGGGGGCTCTTCTCATGCCCCACATCTGGTGGCTCCTGCTCCAATCTACTCTGGACCTTCTTGATGGAGAGGTCAGGGTTCACCAGTGCCCTCCTGTATTGCAGACTAGAGAACCACACGAGTCCAGCATGTGTCCAGGGTGGCAGAAATCTGACCCTTGGGGGTGGGGGCGCTGTGTGGTGTGGCTCATCTTCTGTAAGCTCCTTTTGAATTTTGAAATGGACCAGGAGAATGAAGCCAGGGATCCCGATCCCACAAGGAAGGCTGATTTCCAAAGGGAACAAGGAGTGGCTCACCTCCTCCTTGGAGGCTTTCGGGTCCATGCGTGGCCTGCGGGAGGTGGGATTCGGGAAGCCGGCTGCCTCGGGACTCTCCCTGCCCCAGTGCTCTGGTGGGTGCTGCTCGCACAGAGAGCCCCCATCCACCATCTCTCCCCTGCCTCATGGCTGACACCCAAGTCTCACCTTCCAGAGTTTTCAGGGTCCCCATCAGTGGCTGACCCCATAGCTTCTCACCTCTGAGAGGGTAACAGGGTCCCCAGAGACCACTGCTCCAAGCCCTTGAAATCTTTAGACAGTCTCCAAGCTGCCTGGCCAGGGGCCTCTAACAAAGAAACCGTTGTCGGGCAGGTTAACAACCCAACAACAACAACAACAAAGGAACCGACACTGTTTTCCTGCCTGGGAAAACAGCTCCTTTTTGCAAACTGCACTAGGCTTTGTTTGGATTTTTTTTTTTTTTTTAATCAAATGTGACAGCTGCAACATTCCTCTCATGATCCCCAAACAGTGGAGACAAAAGAACACCCTCTGTGACTTCTCAGCCCCCCAAATCAGTTGCAGCGAGTGGGGAGGGAAGCCTTGGGGAGGAGGGCGGTCCCCAGAGCGGGCCAGTTGCTGCCAGGCCTCCACGTGTCCAGGATGGAGAGAGCCGGAAATGTCAGAGGGTCAGGAGGGGCCGGGTGCTGGAGTCTGTCGCTTGCTCTGTGTACCGGGGCCTGCCAGGGCTGCGTCCCCAAAGCCACCAATAAGAGTACTGCAGAAGAGAGTCCTAGCAGCTCAGCGAGGAGGGGGAGGAGAGCCTCCCAGCTCCAGGAACACGCTGGCCTGAGGCAGAGGCTGGGGACAGAAAGAGGCCCTGTCGCTGGCCCTGTGGTCCCCTTGGACTGGGTGAAACCACCTAGGGACCCTACAGGCTTTCTGAGAAAGAGGCTCAGGTTCCCAGAACCACCTTGGACAACAGCTGTCTTTCTCTGGACTCTCCTGCCTGGGGCTGACCACACCCGTGCCCCTGCGAAGGAGCCTGTTCACATCGAGGCCATGGTGACATGGGCCTGGGAGTCCGCCAGGCCCAAGCTCCCTGCAGCCAGCACACCCACTGCCCGTCCTGCAGCTGTCATGACTCTGTGCTTAGGGCAGGGGACACGGGCTGCTCAGGGACGATGAGCCTAACACCTTAACAGGGGAAAGCCAGACGCCGGTTGTCCCCAGGGCTCCCACCGGCTGCCAGGGGACGACACCGGCTGAAGCTCTCTCATGGTGTCCAAGGCCCCTGCTTTCCTCTGAGGACAGGGAGGATGTAGGCAGACCCAGAAAGATAGAAACTGAGAGAGGGACAGACAGACAGACAGACTAGGGGGTGGCCAGGAGGGAGGGGGCCTTTCGTGAAAGAAACGCAGCTTCCGTCAGGAAGAAAAGGTCAACAGGCTGTGACCACAGCACTGCTGACCAGTCACGGACTGCAACATACAAATAATAAATATCTAGTGTCCCTTCTCCGTGTCCTCCATTGCCAGAAGGACCTCCTGCCTCGCTGGGGGGGTGGGGGCCATGTCTCGGGAGGTCGGTCGCCCAGGTGCACCGCAGAACCTGCTCGCCTAGGCCAGGGCAGGTGCCCCGACCAGCTCCCCGTGGGACGAACAGGAGCGTCTGCTCCCAGGGCACCCTGTCACTCAGGAGAGGTGGGATTTGAGGAAGAAGAGGGGGCCTTGGGGGGCCCCCAGTGAGCTGTGTGTGTGGGGGTGTCCTCTAGAGGGCACATGGCAAGGAGACCCTTCAAGTTTCTGGTCACTCAAGCAATTCGAATAACACTATTTTTGAACATTTGGACAACCTTCCCGCTTTCGAGACTCGACCTTCTCAGATGGGCCTGTTGGCGGTGGGGACGAGGGAGGACATGGAGCTCCTCGGCGACTCGGGGATGTTTTTTCCTGCGAGGAGCCTGGTCCGTGCCTTTGGTCCCCCCACCTGCAGCACCAAGTGTGCGATTCACAAAGGGTTTGGGCGCCTGACCTCAGAACGGAAGGGCTGGGGCAGGTAGGGGGTGGGTATTGCTTTGCTGCGCAGCTCGGGAGACCTGCCCGGGCAGTGCCTCGTGACTTTCCTGGCCACGGTCCCCACCATTCCCAGGTTGAAGATCCTAAGAGGTCACGGTCTCCGTCTCCCAGAAAACCAACGGTTAGGACGCGAGGATCCTGCTCGCCAACCTCATTCCACCCCCACTACCCTGGGAGCCTCAGTGGAGAGGGGCCTAGACTCATGGCCACGGGGCAGTCACACTTCTTGGCCAGGTCCCATCAACAGGCTTTCCTGCTTCTCCATTCATCAGGGAGGACAGCTCATGCCTAGAAGGGCTGGTGGGAGGCTCAGGGTCTTCCCGAGCCCATCTCCCTTGGAAAGGCCTGAGACTGTGACCTCAGTGACTGGCCACGTTAGAGCTGGCCGGGGGACTCCCAGACGAAGGAGCAGAAAGCTAAGCAGAGGGCAGTAGGAGGCCAGACCTCCCTCTGGGCAGTGCTTGTCAAACTGGGTTTTGCAGAGCCCTTGGGTTTGGAAGAGGGACCTTGGGAGATGTCCTGGGCAAAGGGCCGGCCTGGCGGGCTGAGCCTGGGGAGGGGGCCTCACCCCTCGGCTCCCCAGGGGCACAGCCTGGATCTCCTCTGCGCCTGAACTTCCACCTACCAAGTAAACCCAGTTCTGCCGCTCAAAATAAAAGTGTGAGATCACTTGTGCGGGATGAGTGCAGGTCACAGGAGGGGGAGGAGAGGGACCTGCGGAACTTGGGGGCCCGCCAGCAGAGGTGAGACCACCCTGGTGCCGGCCCCAGAAGCCAGCTCGCCAGGTGCAGGTTGGCTCTGCTCCGACCTCCAAACCCTCCGCCTCCTCCGTCCAATGGCCAGGAGAGCCCCTGGCACCAGGGGCACGCCCAGGGCGGGAGGCCGGGGTCCCGCGGCACCAGCCCTCCGGCTGCCTTCCCGTGGAGATCACGCGGTGGCCCTCCCGTGGCCAGTGCTACCTCAGCCGGCCATCGGGTTTGACGGCCCCCAGCTCCGACTTGGGGTCGGGGCTGAAGGAGCTCCAGGCTGTCTGGCTGCAGGTCTGCATGACGGGGCAGGCGGTGGGGCCCGTGGCGCAGATGTCCATGGCAGTCCACATCCCGCCCACCAGCGAGTCCAGCCAGCCCTCGAGCGCGGCGCCCGTGGAGGCGGCGTGGCGGGCAGCCTGCTGGACCTGGGCGGGGCTGACGGGCAGGCTGAGGACCGGGTTCAGGCTTTGGAAGCTCTGCTCCATGTAGGCACTGCGCGGGGGGCCGCTGTGCAGCTTCAGTGCCTCCTCTGCAAGCCAAAGGGAACCGTGAGTCCGGGAGCCACCGACTGGACACCTGCCTCGGGGCACCTGGCACGGGGGGCACTGGGCAGCATCTGGGTAACTCCTGTGACAATCTCACGGGAAGTGCTTGAGCAGTCCCATTGGACAGGTGGAAGTGCCCTTCAGGGACATGGCCCACTCAATGCAGGGCACCCTCCACCTGGGATTCAGTGGGCATGTGTTGATGGGTTAGTGGCCCGTCGTTCACTCCTTCAACACATGTGGGGATTTTTTTTTTTGAATTTGTTTTTGGTACCAGAATTGAACCCCAAGGGCATTTAACCATGGACCCCATCCCCAGCCCTGTTTTGAATTTTATTTAGGGAAAGGGTCTCACTGCGTTGCTTAGCACCTCACTGTTGCTGAGGCTGGCTTTGAACTCGCCATCCTCCTGCCTCAGCCTCCAGAGCTTCTGGGATGACAGGCGCTTAAAAACAGATGTTTTTAAGCATCTACTTTGTGCAGACCATTCACTCAACACTTACTAAACATCTCTTATCTGCAAGGCATTGATTGATTGACTGATCGGAGAGAGATACAATAAATGCCTCTTACTCCAGGTACCGGCTGCATTCTAGGGGGCGGGATGAACCAGAGAGAGAGGTGATGTCATGGTGGCAGCAACAACAAAATGAACAATTAGGTAAACGAGGTCATTTCAGGCAGAGATAAATGTCACACGAAGACCATAACAGGGTACTGGGTCAGAGTAGACTCCAGAGAGCCCGAGGGCTGGATCCAGCCCACCGTGGGTGTTTATAAATAAAGTTTTATTAGAACACAGCCACGCCTACTTGCTCACGGATCATTTATGGCTGCTTTTGTGCCACCCTAGCAGAGGTGAGTTGGGACAGAGGCTGTTTGGCCTGAAAAGCTGGACATATATTTACTCCCTGCCTGCGCCCTTTAGGGGAAGACTGTGCTGAGCCCCCTGTGTCTACCCACATGGGGGGGTGGTGGGAGAGACCTCCCCGGGAGGTGACATCTGAGCAGAGTGCCGATTAGTGTGCAGGAAGGGGGCAGCTCAAGATTCTGGGGAAGAACTTCCAGGTAGAGAAACAGCAAGGGCGCAACCTAACTGAGCTCCTCCCCCTCAGCACGGAGGTCACAGGTGTCGGAGCCAGGGTTGAACCCGGGTGTGTTGACCTCAGATCCTGGGCTGCCGCGTGCCCACCACCGACCCTGGATACACCAGCGTTGCTCAGTGGAAGGCGCTGGTGTATGAGCTCCCCTGGGCAGCAGGACGTTTGAGCCAGAGGGTGGGTGGAGGGGAATGTCCTTGTGATAACTCCACCTTGCTGAGCACCTACTGTGTGCCAACTGCTCCGTGAACTGCTTCATGGAAGAGCCTAGATGCTATGATCTGGTCTGAATCCCCACATCCCACAAACTGGGTGTGTGGCTTCTGACTTGGACTCCTAGTGCCTCCGTTTCCTCCTCCATGGAATGAAGAGGGCACTAACGTCTCCCTCAGCTCTCTTGTTTGTGAGGATTCACTAGACTGGCTAGGAGAGAGTGCTCAAAGTGGCGCCTGGCTCATACTCCACGCTAGGATTATTACTGTTGGTTTTTTGTTAGTCTGTGATCCTCCCATGCACAAGCTGGGTGTTCCCATCTTGAAGAAGTTCACATTCGTTGCCTGTTTTGGAGCCAATGACAAGAACACATTTTCTGAAAGAGTGTTGGCCAGTGAGGCTGGCGAGTTTTGTTCCACCAGTCGGGTTTGTACAGCCACGCTGGCTAGGATCAGAAGACACCTCCTTATGAGACAACACCGTGCTCAGAAGACAATGCTTCCTTTTTGCCTACCAACAGCTGTCCCCACTAAGGTAACCGGGAGAGCCTGCGACAGGATGCTACTTTCTTCTAATCGGTGGGTCCTGAGTGGGGAAGGAGGAAACAGAAAGACCCTAGGCCTGCCTCATTTCTAAAAGCAATGAGAGTACTAGCTGAATTCAGAACATGCATCGAACTTGGCCGACACAGACAGGAACGCCATTCCTTCCATTCTAAATGCCCTGGGGAGCCGGAGGGGAAAGAGGAGACCAGGACGCACTGAGCATATGCTGGAAGCTGCCGTGCTTATAAATCTGGTCCTAGCTCACTTCTCAGATTGGCAGACAGGGCGGGCAGTGCCAGCACCATTTGCCAGGAGAACAGAGCCTTCTGTCTTTGGTGCTTTCCACCAAGTTCTCTAACACTGGGAGGCGGTGGGGTGTCCAAACTGACCAGGGGCAGCACATTCCAAGCGAAAGGAGCAGCTAGCGAATGCGCAAATGTTGGAAACGCAAATCGTGGTTGATGCAAGAAACCCTTATGAAAAATGAGGTTAATGTGGGGAACGCGGTTATAGTACCAGCTCATGATTCTCGCCTCCATAATTAAATTTGCCTCAATTCCACCTCATCAGATTTCTTGAGATTACTGGGGACGCATCAATAGCAAATTACTCGTGATGAATCATTTTACAAATTGGATGGCTCCTACCTTCGTGTTCCCTGTCGTGAGAACGTCGTTAACACATACGATTACCGACACCAGGGGTCTGCTCCCGGTGGGGGAAGACGACCCCTAGGTCTTCCTGGGCCCGGCGGGGAAGAGTTCTGCCTTCCTCAGAAATTCCAGCAGAAAACACTGGAAAGACCAGGGTCACAGTGCACGGCCTGGCTGTCCTGGGGTGGGAGGGTTCGGGGACATTTCTGGGCTGTCCCATCAGAATGCACACAGGAGGATGCTGATCACATCCTTTACCTCCACATCTGGCTCTGAGGACCCTGAGGGGTACCAGGAGTGCAGCTAATCAACAGGGCGCTTGATTCTCGACTCTGCCACCGTAGCCCAGAGCAGAAACACACACCATACAAATGAATGGGTGTGGCTGTGTTCTTTTTTTTTTTTTTTTTTTAGTTTGTTCCAATTAGTTATCCGTGGCGTTATTCTTATAAAAGTATACTTACAAAAACACATCGTGTTTGGCCTGGGGTCTTGTGCTTGCCCACCTCTGATGTATGGATTTCCTTATATATTCCGAACATGAGTACTTTTTAAAAGCAAATATCTTCCACCAGGGGGTGGTTTCTGTTTTTACTGAAGGTATTATATTTTTGATGAATAGAATTCCTATGTTAATTATTGTTTTCTAAACAGCAAATAAGACGGTGCTGAAACCTAATATCTCCCTGGGCTCATTTTCCATTTATCATAAACACGCTCAGACCTCCTGAAGTCAACGGGGAGGGGACCTAATAAATAGGTACCAGGGAGGGAATTCCACGGTGCTCTAGGATAGACAAGTAGAAGCTACGGAAAGAGGAGAGGAGGGCTGTAAGTGGCTGTCCCGTGCCCCACGCCAGAGCATGCTCTCCGCCAAGGAGAGGGACCTGCGAGGGACTCTTTCCCCCATGGGGACACTGGAACACTCACCTGGTTTGATGGGCTGCCTGTTTGAGAAGGTCAGAGGCGCAACAAGGAATTTGGTCTCTGCAACCGGCACCCAGTGGTGGAGAATTTTCACTGTCCAGACCCCGGGCCTCAGGGGCAAGTTCAAAGGGGGCTTGTAGTGGGTGAACTCAGCGGTGGACTCGATCAGGATGTCGTAGGTGGCTGCGATGACATTGACAGGATCCACCCAGATGACGGTCACGGTCACGTTGGGTCCCTTCCCCCACTTCTGCATTCCCACTGGCTCGTCCATGGGCCCCAGGAGACTCCCAAAGTTTCGGAACAGCCGCTCCTTGGCGTCCCAGTCAGTGCCGACCTGGAACGGGAGAGAGAGTTCTGAGGCCGCTGGTGACCCAGGGGGCTGGGTCCCAGAAGGACCTAGCATCCTGCTTGGTAGGTTCCATGGACCCATTTCAGACGAGGAGACCGAGGCTCTGAGTAAGTCACCTACTCCAGCCTGCACAGCTGGCCAGCAGAAGACCTGGGATGTGAGCCCTGCCAGGGGATCCCAGGGCCTGCGGTCCTCTCATGAAACTTTGGGGCCTACTGTGCTCCGTACATGGAATGTGCTTTGAAATCAATCCCCCCAAACAGGCACTAAACACAGGCATGAATGAATACCCACTTTCAGGCCATTCCCCAAACTCACATCAAGCCACTCCACGGGTGTGGCTGGTTTCCGCTGGGTGGTGAGTTTTCCAAACTGCAGGCAGCCAGTTCGTGTAGTGTGTCAGAGGGGAACCGGGGGCTTCGGAGCCCCCCTAGCCTGGCCTGCCCTCCGCCTCCACCTCCCTATAGCTGGGGTCAGTCACCTCCCAGCACAGCTGGCCCTTCACTTCCAATGTCGCCTCTCACCCTCCCTGACCCCCAGATCTAGAATGGCCCTCGGTCATTGTCACTGCCGCTGCTTATCTGCTGAGCATGACCTGGCAGCGGCTGGGTCATTCATTCCCACCCCTTGTACCAGAGGACCCCTGTGAACAGCCTTCCTTATTTGGCTCTCTGTACTTTCTTGGTGCCTATTATATCACTGGGCTCAGCACACAGCAAGCGCTTAAGCAATGTCTGTCTGATCGAGTGAATGACTTGACAAGAACACGGACAACTGCATTGATGGCCAGCCCTGAACTCCGCGGCTATTTCAGATCACATTAAATGAGGGGTTTGCTGACTTGGAAAAAAAAAAGTGTCAGTCTCCCTGGTGAGGATCCATCCGCCCACGGCACCGAGGTACGTTGGTGGCAGAGGACCAGCAAGCACCCCAGCGTCTGCGCGTGTCGCAGGTCGAGGGGGAGGTGTGCAGGGACGCCCCCTCCTGGAGAAGAGCTCGGGTGCCAACAGGGGCTGACCGAGGTCCTCCTTGGCCTTGCCTGGAGTCACTGTCCACTCTCCACCCAGGACACGGAGCTGGGCGGCCAGTACCCACGGAGGGCTTAAGGCACCAGGGGACCGTCCGGGGCATCCATTCCTCCCGTGTTCCCGAATCCAGAAAGGGGAGGGCCTGGCGGTGTCCTCTAGCTCAGAGGTACGTGACGTGCCACGGTCAGAAGCGCAGGGTCCGCCAGTGTGGCACCGGGGGCTGCAGTTCTCCCGATGCTCTCAGGGCCCCGACCCTTCACTCACTCACCCGCACACTCAGGCCAGGAGCCCCCACCCACTGGGTGGCTGGCGCGCACGCAGGGTCAGTGCAGCTTTCCACCGGCTTCCGTGGGCCAGAGGCGAACTTGAGCTGGGGGGAGGGGCGGGGGGACGTCCCCTCCCAGACTTGAGAAAGCCCCACCCCTCGCTGGTCTGGCCAGGGCCTGCCCCGCCCCCTCTCCTCCCTGGCCCTCAGCCCAGGCCCTGTGCAGGGCTCTCGGCCTCTTGGCCAGGGTCCTAGGGCTCTCCGAGGCACAGGCTTCCTATCCTGCCGGTTCCAGCTCCAGAATCCAGACGGCGGTTCTTGCCGTGGGAGGGACCTGGTTAGAGGAGCGCCTCTGGGCCCTGCAGCGCGCGCAGGAGGCCAGGACTTCTCGCGCTCCTCACCGCTGCGCCTCCTCCGGGTTCCCAAGAGAGCCCAGAGTGCAGGAGACCCTCCCATCTGCCTGTCAATCACCAGTCTTCAGTCCATCTCCTCCCTATCGATTATCTATTTCTCATCTATACATCTCACGTGTATGTCTACCTTATCTATTATCCATCTGCCTATCCGCAATCAATCAATCATACCACTGTCCATTATGGCTGGGCTTTGAACTCGAACGCATGCTGAATGGACAGGGCTGGGGACCGGGCTTCCCTGGGCACCCGGGCTCTCCACGCCGACCTTCCAACAGACTAAAGGATAAACTGTCACAGAACCACCTCGAGATCACACACGGGAAGGGATCTGTGATCCGACAGGGGCGGTGGGGACCCTGGAGAGCACTGTCCCCGGCTCACCACAGAAATGGAAATGAACCGTCGTCTGAAATCTGGGTTCCAAAGCCAAGAGAAGGCAGGCAGGTGCTGGGGAGCAGCTGACTAAATCTCTGCGTCTTGCTTCTAGGTTGAGCAGGGGGCCGGGGTCAGTCTGAGATGGAGCCCACTCTGGCCCCATCCGCTGTGACCTCTGAGATCGAGTCAGCCTCAGTGTGGAAATCCACAGCCATTCCCTGCCAAAGGACCGACTGCCCCAATTTAAACACGGGTTCAAGTTCAGACCTAACATGCTGTTCCCCAGCTTCCAATCCCAATCCAAAGCTCCCCATCTGGACCTTTCCAGGGCCTACAAGACCCTGTTGCCTCTTGAGGCCTGGCTTCCGCCATTCTCCCCCTCACTGTGCTCTGGCCACACTGGCCTGGCTGCCCGTGGGGTATGCCACACTCCTTCTGAACCTCAGGGCCTTTGTACATGCTCTTTCCCCTCTTTCTGGTGCCAGGACCATTCCAGATCTGCCCATCTGAGAATCTCCTTTACAGATTTCAGCTCTACATTTTTCTCTTTTGAAGAGCCTTGTGGAATGAACCACCCTCTGGGAGGTGATCTCCATCAACCTCCCAAGTCCTCAGCAGTCCCACGAATGAAGTCTTATTTTATCTGTGACACTTGTCATTAGCTGAGCAGCTTCTGTCCTTTTATTCTCTCACTCGCTGGCTGTCTGCCCCACTAGACTGCATTTTATGACAATAGGGGCCTCATCTGTCTGGCTCACTGCTGTCCCTCGGGAGTCTAGCATGCTGCTGCTGGTGGCCTGGAGAAACATTAGGCATCTCTTCCCCAAGCCAACAGCATGGGATTCTCATGGACTGGAGAAATGTGACACTGGCCACCCGCAACAAGCCAGACCTGGACACCAGGAAAGGCCCCAGCGCTACTGCCAGGGAGCCTCTCGGCAGCCCTCCGAGTGGCTATGAGTTCTGCCCTTCCTTCTCATGCGGTTTTATGTCTATGCTGTTAAAAATAAGCAAGACTAAGAGGGCCGGGCTGTAGCTCAGGGGTGGAGCACTCGCTGAGCATGTGCAAGGCCCCAGGTTTTATCCCGAGTACTGCAAAAAAATTTAAAAATACAACAAAACATAAATAATGCTAGAAAACTTTCAAAATTCAAGATTCGGACTTCATGGGTCCCATGCCGTTATTTCTGCCAGTGATCTTGGTGGTTCCTCTCCAACGCTACCAGACCTACCCAGGAACCCTTGCAGATCACGAGCCGTGGAGTGGCCAACATCGTTTGTCACTGCCGGAGGGACCTAGTCATCCAACCACAGGCTGATAAACAGGGAGAGTCCAGACGCCAGGCATCCATCTCTTTAATGGGACGTTAATGTCTTCAATGGGCCACGTGGGCCCCCAGCACAGGATCCAACTGGGGCAGCGTTTAATTACCCCCTGACTCACCAGTAATTTATTATGTTCAAATCCAGCCAATCCATTTGGAGCCTTAGTTGAAAATGTGGGCCTAACAAGAAAGTCACCCGTGCCTGTTTGACATGGGGACACACTGAGAGGGGGACGGGACAGCAAGGCACGGCCACAGTGGGCTGGGGGAGGACCAGGAGGTGAGACCCCACCTCCATCACACCCCAGTCCTTCAGGCTCTTCGTATTCTAGAATCAGATTCTTCATCCTTAACCCCGTGGCCAGGGTCCTGCACCCGCCTGAGCTGCGTACTGACCTGGGGAGGGCAGACGTCGGATGCTGGGGTTCCCGGGGTCACACCACCCTCCCTTCCAGCATCGCTACTCACGGGGCTTTGGCCCATTCCTTCAGAAATCACAGTCAGCATCTGTAAGTGGCTGGCGCTCTCCTACAGATGATGTACGTGGGGACACGGCAGGGAACAGGAGGGTAGCGGATCGGCTCTCTTGTGGACAATCAATAAATGATCTGATAAATCAATAAGGAGCTTCACCTGGCAAATACTAAGAGAGGTACAGTTCCACAGGGAGGAGTCGGGTGGGTAATGTAGCCACTGCGGCATGAGGTGGCGGCCAGGGGAGGCCATTCTGAGGGGACACTGTTTGGATCTAGATTGGAATGACTGAGAAAGAAACGTGGCAACCCCTGGGACTGTGTTCAAGGCTGGGGATGAGCCTGAGCCAAGTCTGAGGCCAGAACAAGTGTGGTGTGTTTGGCAAAGGCACAGAAGCATGAGCAGGGAGGAGAGCAGCACTGGCCAGGGCTGGACAAGAAAACAGGCTGGGCCCCATGGGGCCTTCTGGGCCTGGAGGCAGGGCCGGGGGTGAGGGTGGTGCTGGTGAACCCGCTTCCCCAGCCGGAGAAGTAACTAAAGGCTGATGCTGTTGTGGGAGGGGAGACTGCATTTTATGGACCCATGATCCATGCATCAGTCCATCTGTCCATGCCTCGGCCATCCATCCATCCATCCACCATCCATCTACTCATCTATCCATCTATCCATTCATCCATCCATCTACCCACCCACCCACCCATCTATCATCCATTCATCCTTCCACCCATCCATCTATACATCCATTAATTCACCATCCATCTACTCATCCATGCATCCATCTATCCATTCACCATCCACCATCCATTATTCATCCATCCATCCACCCACCCACCCACCCATCCATCGTCATCATCCTTCCACCCATCCACCCATCCATCCCCCATCTATCTGTCCATCCATCCACCATCCATGTACTCACCCATCCACCCACCATCCATCTACTCATCCATGCATCCATCTATTCATTCACCATCCACCATCCATTATTCATCCATTCATCCACCCACCAGCATCATTCATCCTTCCACCTATCCATCCATCCATCCCCCATCTATCCATCCATCCATCCACCATCCATGTACTCATCCATTCATCTATCCACCATCCATCTATTCATCCATCCATCCTTCTACCTATCCATCCATCCATCCCCCCATCCATCCATCCACCATCCATGTACTCATCCATCCATCCATCTACCCATCTATCCATCCATCCACCATCCATCCATCCATACACCCCATACACCTCATCTATCCATCCTCCCACCTGCCCATCCATCCACTCACCAACCCATCCATCCATTCATCCTTTCATCCATCCACCCATCCATCCATCCATCCATCCATCTATCCATCTACTTATCTATCCATCCATCCATCCACCCATCCATCCACTACTGTAGCCAAAGACTGATCTAGTGCTCACTTGAAGTCATTCCTGTGCTAGGACCTGGGGTGACATAAACACAATTAAACATAGTGTCTGTGACCAGAGACCTGGGATCAACTTCGAGCTCTTCCACTTCCTAGCTACGATCCAGAAAACCACTGGATCTCCATCTGCCTGAATTCCCCGTCTGTAAGATGGTGTTCATGGGACTGTGTCCTTAGGAAGCTGGTTTGTTACTGGCGTCCTATGAACACAGGTTTAGAAGGAGTCCCTGGCTAGGACGAAACAAAGTCCCTGGCTCTAGTGTTTGGGGGCTGCACAGTCTCACAGATGTGAGCTCATCTCTAGGGTCTGCAAATCCATTCCTCCTCCCTCTCCAGCTGCAAGCATCCAAATGGGGCAGAGCTCCTGGCCAGCGGGGGCTGCCAAACCCCCAGGGTGACCGCGTCTGGCCTCTTACCTCAGAGAACTGAAGCCTCCCGAAGTCGCTGGGGGGGCTTGCGATCTTGAAGACTTTCTTTGGCATCACCCACGTCTCCAGGGTCTCGAGTTTGCTCACGGCCAGATTGGTAGCATGGTGCTTGACCAGAAAGCCCTGGAAGCGGTCAGCGAGGAAGTAGAGGTGGACAGATGCTGGGTGGCCCATCGGGTAGTACCTGAAAACACAGGCGATCGTGGGCCAGGGCCGGAGCCGTGTGGCATCCTCCCAACCACCGCCACCCGAGCCTTAGAGCCTGTTCCTGAAATAGACGCCATTTACCCAGCACTTGCCGGGTTATTCGCGCCAGTCTGGAAGCTGCTCCCTGTGCAGCTATGATCTCAGTGACTATGAATAACTTTTTTGCTGAGTTATAAATGTGAAACGTGCTGACTACAGGGAAGTCAGATCAAGAAAATAAAATTACTACTTTTGATGCCTCTTCCCATAAATAACGTCGATTCCGATATTTACTGAATCCTTGGTGCTGGGGCTGGGAGCGGCAGTGGTGTGCAAACACGACTCCTCATGCATTTCCCTGCAGCCCACTCTTCTATGCATATATTTGCATAAATATTGCATCATGGAGATTTAATGTACACACTGGCTGTATCCTGCTTTGGCTCCACAGGATTTCCTGAGCATATTTTTTTCTTTTCTTTCTTTTTTTTTTTTTTAAAGTCTCTGAAAACAAGAATGTGTACGTGTGTCATGTGATGCAAAGGTTTTCACTGGGTGGAGCACAGATTTTAGAGTCAGTCCCCATTGATGAGCCACAATTTTTTTTTCTATTTCAAATAAAGCTGCATTCGTCATTCTTGAGCCAAAAAAAAAAAAAAAATCATGCTTTGGAACCTCTCTGTCTGTCTGTCTGTCTCTCTCTCCATCTCAAGGGTCTGAACTTTATCAGAAATACCAGTTTGTACCCTCATTGTTTCTTGCCCCCAATGCTGTGCTGCTTCTTTAAAAATTATTGCCACTCTGAGACTCATATGCATGCAAATGCATACACAAGCTTGCAGAAGTAGTTTGTTTAAAAACACACATCTTTGATCTGCTGAGGCCCGCTGGCTGGAGGGCTCAGGGAAGCTACTAAGCAGAGATGCCCAGAGGATGGGAGGGAGCAGGGAGCAGAGATGGGCCACGCTCGGGCGGCTCGGCTCCCAGTCCTTCCCTCCTACTTGGACAGAATAAAGCTACTGCTCCTGCAACGTTTAAATTGCACGGCACGAGGAGGATGCTGGTGGCTTCTTAATAACAGCAGTCCACAAATCACTGTCCCCGCTTGGCTAAATGCAGGCTTCCCTCGGGTTCCGATCTGGAGTTTTAAGTCTTTATGTCCAATGATGGCGGCGGGGGGGGGGGGGGGAGCCGCCTTCCTGTGTGGATGCTGCTCCTGAAATCACTGCCTTGTTCCTGGGATGCCTCTGGGTTTGCACAAGCAACCTGCGTGCCCTTTGGACGCTGGGTGTCCGTGGCTCATGCCAGCTTCAGGTGCGGATACTGGGAGGCGAAGGCTGCAGCCAAGTCTAGGCAGGAGCTTCTAAGAGGATGGGAATAGTTTATATCTGCTCTGTCCAATATGGTAGCCGCTGGCCACGTGGGATGACTGAGCACTGGAAATAGGGCTAGTTGTCACTGAGGACATGCATTTTTAATTTTATATGAGTTTTTTTGGGGGCAGAGTACCACGGATTGGACTCAGGGGCACTAAACCACTGAGCCCCACCCCCAGCCCTATTTTGCATTTTATTTAGACACAGGGTCTCACTGAGTTGCTTGGTGCCTCGCTGTTGCTGAGGCTGGCTTTGAACTCGCGATCCTCCTGCCTCAGCCTCCCGAGCTGCTGGGATGACAGGCGTGCGCCACTGCACCTGCCTAATTTGATTTGATTTCAGTGTAAACAGTCACTGTGGCTCTGACTCCGTAATGGGCGGCACAGATGGAGCCCTGGAAGTCTGTGGTCACCTGCACCGGTGTCCCAAAGGCCCCTCAGCCTCTTGTGTCCAGGTGACTTTGCCGGCTTCCTTGCACCAGGGGGGCAGGCCACTTTCTCACCTCTTGAGTTTGCTTTGGCAGGTGGCGTGTCAGGCCTGTCCCCAGCCAAGCCTCCTGAAGTCTCCTGTGCTTCCCTGCTCTCGAGTGACCACCGCGAGAGTGCGCCTGAGCTAGCCTGCTGGAGGGAACACAGCGGGAACACAGCCACTGCAGGAGTCCCAGCCGAGGCCGGCCCGGGTCAGTCAGCCAGTGATTCCCAGCCAAGAGCCACAGAGCCGCCCTACTGACACGGAGCCGACTGAGGACGCAGGAGTGTGTCCAGCCCCGGTCAGGGAATCTGCCAGGCTGATCCACAGACCAGAGCTCCAGGAAATGCTCATCTCTGCAGGACCACTTGTTCACGTTGCTGCTGTTTAAGCCATGAGCGTGCACGGTCAGAGCTTGTTCCGGAAGGTGGGGGGCCGTGGAGGGAGGGAGAAAGGCAGCAGGGCTTTGCCTTGGGGGTCAGAAGAAGGAAGTGTTTGCAGAAGAGAGTGGTCGCCCGTGTTGAGCGCTGATCAAGGTCAAGAGAGCCATCAAGGTCGGGTTCCCTACACACCTGGGCAGCTCTCCCACTCCTCCCTCCCCTTCTTTCTACCATGGAACCCTCTTGTCTCCACCTGAATCCCCTGTCCACTCCACTCCCCTCTGGCACCGCCAGAACCCTCGTCCAAGCCACCGTCCTTCCCCACGGGGAGTGATGCAGGGACTTCCTCAACGGATCTCGTTTTACTTTTGTGTGCTACAACCTATTCTCACGGAAGTCACCTCCCTCACCCCCTGCTAGATGCCCCAAGTGGTGCGCTTAATGCTTGCGGTGGCAGCCAGACTTCTTACCTGGGCTATGAAGCCCTGCCTCTTTCTCTAGCCTTGGTTTGCTTCTCTCTGTCCCAAATCTACCACCTTCGAGCCACTGGCAGCTTATTTTGAATTTTTGAACAGAAGTTCCTTCTGCCTCAGGGCCTTTGCACAGGATATTCTGTCTGCTGGGGAAGCTCTCCTGCTGTTTAGTGCGCGGCTGGCTCTGTCTTACATGATGGAGAGATCGTCCTTGTCTGAGGAACCCTAAGTCACTAACTCTTCACTGTCTCGTGACTATTTTCACTCTCGGCAGAACAGCTATTTATTTCTATTTATGTGTGTTTTGCAGGATGGAACTCAGAGCTTTGCACATGCCAGGAAAGTGCTCTACTGCTGAGCTACCTCCCCCTCCTGGAGGGTTTATTCCAATTGATTTGCTCCTGTTTGCTGGTGCTGGGGATCTGTCTGTCTTCGACTGGAATGTGAAGGGTTTAGCTCAGGGGCCTGGTCTGTGGGAGCCAGTGCCTAACCCAGAGCCTGGCCCAAGGTGAGACCTAGAAAGGTTTCTCTAGAACCTTCTGAGGTACATCTAGGGAACAGGTGACCCGAAAGAGAGCACAAAGCTCTGCGGGGCCTCTTCACCATATTTGGTACTTAGGTAATTAAAAAGGTGAGTTTTCTAAGAGAAGAGTCAAAATCAAGAGGCCCATAGGGTACCACAGACGCATGCGTTTGGCCCAAGGTATTTTACTCCCCTTATTTAATTAGGAGAGTGACATAAAAGCTGGTTTGTTTTGATTTCCCTTGAAAATTCAGGAGACTTCTTCACAGCTCCAACTCTGCATTGCAGCCGACTGTATGGAGCACAGGTGCGGGAGGTGGGTGGGTCAGCCTGCCCTGGGGGGGCCACACTGACTGGCCCGGGCTGCCTGCCTGTCCCCCTGGAGGGCATGAGTGTGAGGACCTGTCATAAAATCCGACATGCTGATTCCTGGGGATGGATCATGAGTGTCTTCATTTTCTTCTTCTCTTAATGTTTGAATCTGCCAGTTCACACATTCCCGCAGGCTCTGCCGGGCCCATGCGTTACGTTATGATGAGAATAAAATCAACAGGCCTCACTCTGGACACACCCAAGGTGCACAGATGCCCGGATGCAGGAGGATGGGTTTTGCTCACTGTTTCCCGGGTAGTGATCCGTCCTCCTCTGCCCCCGGGGATGAGGGTCTTTTGTCCTGATTCATTCGCAGGCTCCTCTTCATAAACACAGGGCTTTGCCCACCGCGGGGCCCAATGGTTCCATCAAAATAAAAAATGAGGTAGAAGCCGAAGGGTTCCAGGCCCCAGGCAGCCCGGTGGCTCCCTTCATCCCAGAGCACGCACCGGGTGGACAGCTGAACGACGCTCAATAAATCGGGGTGTCTTCTGCAATGTCCTATCGGGTGGCTTATCTTGTACATTCTAGGAAGCTCCTGACTAAAACTGCTCCTGGGTGACTCTTGGCTCCCAGCGGTGCCACACAGCACTGGGCACCGGGGATCCATTCTGTGGCTCAGAGATCTAGACTCTGCGCCAGGCTTGCTGGAGGGGAAGTCACGGTCTCCGTGACCTTGAGCCAGGGCACTGTGGTCCTGCAGCCACACACAATGGGGACGTTGGAAGTGAAGTCCCCGAACTTGCTGCTCTGGAGAGGTGTGTGTGTGGGGGTGGGGCTATCATCCAAAGCTCTTATAAAAGCTTCCCAGGGGAGGTGGCACCTGGGTGGCTCTGATGACTGGGCAAAGGTCGGCAATGCAGTGACGGTGGGGTCACTGAGATAGCCGTGAGTGGCTCATGTAGCCAGTGACCACACAGCAGGGTCAGCTGACCAGTTTCCACCTCTTGATATAATGGCACCTAGAACAGCAGCCAGGAACAGGACTGAGCGTTTCCTATGTGAAACTGTCGACCTAAGACAATATGCTATCGCTCATGAGGTTGGTTGTCAATCATTTTCTACTTTAAACGTCACAATACCATCTGGGGAATGATGATGAGGATTTTCATTGTACAGAAGAAGAAACTGAGGGTCAGAGAGGTTCATGACTTGCCCGAGGTCAACAGCTAGGAAAGAGAGTTGAGTTCACAGTGCAGGTCCTGGGCTCCTAACCCACGCTGGTCTCCCTTTAAACCAAACCCCACAGGGAGACAGAAAGGAGAGGGAAGGCTCAGAGAAATAAGGCGGGAATGGAAATGGCGGCAGGTTGGCAGAAGCAGACAGGAACCCTGTGTGTACTGTCAGGGTTTAGGGGACAGAATAGTCCCTTTCCTCCCTCCCCGAGAAAAGGGGAGGGCGGGGCAAAGAGGAAGGAGCCGAGACAAGGGATGGAGGCTCAGTATACATTTTTGTTGTTGCTACGCTGTTCAAAGGAGGCTGGAGGAGGAGGAGAACAAGGGCAGGAGAGCCATCGGAGACAGAGACAGAAATTCGAACATTTGAGGCTGAAGCCACAGGACGTCTGAGGTTTGCTTCAAACTCCTCTGGGAGGAGGCAAGAAGGAGACTCAGGTGCCTTCAGGCTGCAGAGCTGGTTGGTTACCCGCTGAGCTGACAGAGGGGAGCACGGGGTCCCACTCTCCTATTTTGTGCATGACCCACACTTTCCATCATGAAAAGTACAAAAAAAAAAAAATTGTATTTTGTCACGGTGACCTTCCATTCAAGACGGACACAATGTGGACATAAAGCCTCCCTCTAAGGTACACAGAGGAGAGGACCCAAGGCCACCAACAGTCAACTTAGACCAGCATCCTGACAAAGGGAAAGGTAAGCAGGGAGGGTGGCTCAGCTGGAAAGCCCCCCAGGCTGCAGAGATCACCGGGGGACAAAGGAAAGTTGAAGTGCGGGGTGGGGGTGCAGCCCTGGAAGAGGGGGTACCCCGATCTGCAGCTTGGGGCTTCCACTCCCACACCCCAGTACCCCCCCAACCTCCGGCACCCCGAGACCCAGCCACCCCAGCACCCCCAGCGCCCAGCACCGGCCACTCACCGGCAGCTGTTCTCGCCGTCCGTGTGCAGCGAGGCCTCGGCCCTGCGCAGCCCCAGGCGGGCGAAGGCGTGGTACAGCGACAGCGCCACGTCGCTCAGGCTGTGGACGCCGTCGGGCTCCTCGTACACGTTCTCCCAGTAGGCGCGCAGGCCCGGGGTGCCCGCCGGGTAGTTCCCGTACAGGTAGTAGTCCAGCTGCCCGATGATCTCCTGGTTCACCACCGCCTCGAACTTGCGCGCAAAGAAGGTGGGCCGCGCCGTCTGCTGCGCTCGGAGAGGAAGGGAGAAAACCGCATCAGCCCGCGACTGCGGGGACCTCAGGCTGCACCCCGCGGTCAGGAGCAGGGCTGGCCCCAGCCCCAGCTCTGACACGGCATGGCCTCTCTGGTCTCGGTTTCCTCATCTGGAACATGGGTCAGAATGGAGCGTGAGAGGGGCTGGGCAAAGCCATCCAGGTAGAGAAGACGCAGACTAGATTGCTCTCTCGAGCGCACCCTGCACAAAAACCACCTCCAAACAGATCAAAGAGCTTCCTGCAAGACCTGAGGAGCTGAAACCACCCGAGGAAAACAGGGGAACGCTTCAAGATATCGGCACAGCGACAATTTCCTGAACAGGACTCCAGCAACTCAGGCAACAGGAGGGAAAACTGACAAATGGGATTACCTGGAATTATAAAGCTTGCGCCCTGCGAAGAAAACAGTCAACAGAGCGAAGACTCAGATACGGAAAGGGAGAGGAATCTGTGCCAGCCATTCATCTGACGGAGGATGAACGTCCAGGATATACGAATAACCCCCCAAAGATAACAAGGGAACAAAGCAGCCAGCCAATAACTGGGCAGCCCATCTGAAGGGACGCTTCTCGAAAGCGGAAATACAAATGGCCAATACATACATGAGGACACTCTCAACACCCAGAGCCAACAGGGAAATGCTAATTAAAACTTCACCAGAGATGCCATCTCACCCCAGGGCAAAGGGCTACTATCAAGACAAAACCCCAAACCAACACATAACAAAGGCCGGCCTAGGATGTGGGGGAAAAGTAACACTTCCCTGCAAAAAAAGTAACACGTGCCCTGGGGGGTAAAACATCTATGAAAAATCGAAAAACAGATCCACAATTGGAGCTACTTCTGGGGACACTCCTGAAGGAAAGGAAGTTGGTTAGCAAGAGACACCTGTAGACTGCGTTTACTATGTCACTCTCACAACGGCCAAGGTATGACTCAGCCTAGATGCCCATCAACTGATGAATGGGTAAAAAAAAAATGTATATAGACACCATAGAATTTTATTTGACCATTAATAATGTTAATGCAAATGTCATTTGCACAAAAATGGATGGAACCAGCGGCCATCATGTTGAATAAAATCAGCCAGACAGGGAAAGTTTAAGTAGCGCGTGTTTTCTCTCATATGTGGAAACGAAAAGGTATAACTAGAAAAGACAGGATCAACTACTAGGGATAAAGAAGGGGGGCTGGGGGGAGGGGGGGGGGGGAGGGCCAGGGGGTTATTAGGGACATGCATTATGGAACCGTCACATTGAAACCCATTCATCTGTCTAATCAATGACTGAGCAATCATCATAAAATAAAGTTTAAAAAAGAAGGAGGATGCGCACCCCGAATGAATGGGTTAATATGGGCAAAGCAATGACGGACACTTAGTATGTATCATTTCAGTGACTGTTAAATAAATTCAATCCTGGATGTTTCTGGCTGGGCTGGAGCTCAGAAATCATTTAGCTGAGGTCACAGACCAGTTGTCCAGGGCAAATACAGCCTGCAGATGTATTTCAGTTGCCCAACAGAACATTTTAAAATTGAATTAGCTGGCAGCATTTAAAAAGGCGAGATTCATGGAAACAGAAAACAGCATTAGACCCGCAGCCTCAGGCCCACATCCCACATGGGAGCAACCAGCGAGCGCGGAATGGACACAGGGCTCCTCAGCCTGCCACAGTCCCCACCACTCCCTAGTGCCTCCCTGGCACTTGGACTGCCCTGCAGACTCACAAGGCACGCTCCAGAGTCACGGATCAGGACCTTCAGGAGTGGGGCTGAGAGACTGTATTTTAATGTCTCCAAAAGAAAAGTTGAGAGTGAGGGCCACTGATGTAAACTGAGCCCTCGATGACACAGGCCCAGAGAGGGGCAGGGACTCTATCCAAGGACACACAGCCCATCAGTAGAAGATGCAGGGTCAAGGGTTAAAAAGAACACTGAGTACCTGCTGTCTACCAGCCTCGAGACCCGTCTAGGGCCGAGATTGGCAAACATTTTCAAGAAAGGGTCAGAGAGTAGATGCACACAGCTTTGAAAACGCTCACTCTGCCTTTGCAGCATCGAAACAGCCAGGGGCAAAACTGTCGATCATGGGCGTGGCTGTGAGCCAGGGAAACTTCTTCTTGGCCAGGGCTGAGCTCAGATGCCCCCTGGAGGGGGCGGGGTTGCTGCAGTTGGCTGACCCTTGGTCTAGGGCTGCAGAAGCAAATAAAAAATAGCCCTGTCCCTCGAGGACCTAACTTTGGGTCTAGCACGGCTGTGCATGAATAGCGACAATAATGATGACAGTGACCAGTAAGCACGTCCTACAGGCAGGCGCTGCATCGATGTCCCAGCCTCGAATCCCCCCAGTGACTCAGCCGGCCAGGTGTTTCAGATGAGGACACTGGAGCACAGGGAGCCAACTCGTAAGGCTTGTCCCCAGGTCCAGTGTCTCCAGAACCTCGTCACTCTACGATCGAGCTGATTGAGTCAGCTGGTGACCCCCCCCAACTCCCCCGGCCCCGGCTTCCTCATCCTTAAAATGGGTACAGCCACATGGGTTTTCAGCCAGGCCGTCAGCTGCTCTGGCTACGTGACCGTCATGACCGCTTCCGCTTGCAACTGGGGGCCTGTCTCCCCGGGGGCCCGTCAGCCTTCATTTTCCGGAGGGAGAAGACCAGTCTTAGCGTCTGGACAGGCTTCTTTCTCCTCCTGCCATTCTCTGGCCATAGCCTGCTCTCGGGAAAGGGCACGTTTCTATATTTATCGTCCTCTTTGAACAAGAACTCCGAGCTCCTCACGGGCAGCCGGTCCTTGGCTCTACGGTGGATCTTTGTTTACTGGGAAAGACAGAGCTGGGTGCTCGCTGAGCCAGCCAGGCTTCATCAGGGACCACAGTGGCCCCGGACGCGGGGGCTGGGGGAGCGGAGCCCGGGGCCACCTTCTCAGATGGTGATGGTTCTCTGCAGCCAGGGCAGCGGCAGGTCCTTTCTGCACGGACAGAGTCAGGACATCATCCGGGTTCCTGCCTAATTAACCAGGGTTTGAGGACGTCCCTGGCACAGGCAGATCGACATGAGAGCACCCAGGTCACCAGGGACCTTTCCAGGGGTCCCCGCTGGTCCTCGGGAGGTGTGGAGCACCCTGAGCCTCTGCTTTCTGAGCTGCTGGTGATGGCAGTGCCCGGGGGCCGCCGCCCTGCTCTGAGGAGCCAGGCAGGCAGGGCGTGTCCTCCCCTGGACACTTCAGCAGGGACACCTTGGCTGGCTTACAGCCTGGCTCTCTTCTATCAATTGTCCCCATGGTCCCTCCAAATTGGCAGTTTGGGAAGCCCCAAGCCATCACCACGGGGTGGCTCTAGGGACCTCCGTCTGGTTTGGTTGAACATTTCATGGTGCTCAGTTTGTGCAGGCTGCAGCTTGGGCCTGGCTGTAGTCTGAGGGAGGGGAGGAAGAAGCTGCAGAGCCCTGTCCCTTCCTGGCCACACTTCCCGGCCACACTTCCCAGCCACACTTCCTGGCCACACTTCCCAGCCACACCAGGGATGGGAAGAGCTTCCCCTGGGCAGGAGTGGAGCTGAGGAGCCCTCCCCCAGGCTCATAGCAAGCAGAAGAGCAGTGACCTCCCTCCTGCCTCTGACGTCCCCAGAACTGTAAATTGCTAGGCTGCGCGGAGACAGCTGTGAAGGTAATGACATTTCTACCTCTCGTTACTCCTTCAAGTTCATGGAGCAGGGTGGTTTCCAAACCTGGCCACGCGTCAGATTTTTCCAAAGTGTGATACCACAGAGACACACGTTTGTGGACCTCGGTGGAGAGTGGCGGTTCTCAAGCAGGGGCGAGTTTGGCTCCAGGGGACATGTGGCAATGTTTGGAGGCATTTGGGGACTGTCACAGCTGGAAGGTACATCTAGTGTGTGGAGGAGGCCAAGGACGGCTGCTAAACACCCCCAGGGTACAACGCAGAAGGATCCAGGCACAGTGTCAAGCCTGCCTTAAAACTCTGCCCTCTGTAAGTTCAAGTTCGTGTTCAGAGATACGTTTTTAATAACCTTCCAGGGCATTGTGCCCGAAAGGTAGTGCAGAGAAGAGGACAAGAACGGCCCCTGGGGACAGATACCGTGGGCTGTCTGACCTTGGATAAGGGTTTTGATGTTTCTGTGCCTCAGTTTGTCTCAGAAGGAATCCTACATGTGTTTTGCGGGGTTTAATGAGTCGATTCATCAGAATGGTTAGACCAGCCCCCGTATGCAGTAAGTGCTCAGTTAGTGCTGGCTCTTTTCTTGAAGGGGTTGCTGTGACCAGCAGTCCCAGGGCAGGTCATGGAGGGGTGGGGCGGCCTCGGGGCTCCTTGGAGGCCTCAGAGGTCGCTGGTGGGCGGGGTCTGGGGTCTGGGCGGGGCTCACCTGGAAGCGGTGGTGGTGGTGGGCGGGGTCTGGGGTCTGGGCGGGGCTCACCTGGAAGCGGTGGAAGTCCTGGGGCTTGAAGTCGTTGGGGGAGCAGCCGCACCAGTCCACAATGTGCTTGTACTGGCACTTGCAGCCCAGCTTGCGGTTCCAGTTGGTGACCCGCAGGTTGTTGTCCACCATGGTGTCGCAGTGGGGGCTGTTCTCCAGGACCGTGTGGAAGAAGGACTGTGGGGAGACAGGAGCCCAGCTCAGCCCTCCCCGGCCTCCCCCAGGTGGGCTCCCGAGGCCCTCCAGCGGCAAGGAGCGCTCCTGGAGAGTCTTGGGGACAACTGCCAGGCCTGTCAACTCGGTGGCTGGATTCTACCTAGAAGTGTCCCCCAGCCCCAGCGCTGCCTCTCCTCCGGGTCTCCACCTGATTTCAAGACATCCCATCGCCCCAGGCATGTGCAGCGAGCTCAGCCGCCAGGAAGCCTCTCAGGTACATCAATGCAGGGGAGGGGGCAGAGGCCAGTATGGGGACAATTTTCAGGGAAACTTGAGTCAAGAGGGCTTTTTAAAGGGCCAGATTTGGATGCGACAGGCTTCAGGTCTGAGCTTGGTACCAAGGACATGTGCACTGGCATTTCACCCCTGGGTGAAGGCGGTCCGACCCCGGGGTGCCATCCAGCCTAGGGTTGAAGGGCCCTGTCTTTGCCACTCAGCAGGACAACCTAAGGAAGGGCAGGATGCCTGATGTCCGTGGGGCTGAAGCAGGGGTCCTGTCTCTCTCTAGTCCTGGGTCTCCCGTCCGACCTCCTGCAATGACTCTAAGAGAGGCATCCTGGGAGTGAGGGCAGGAGAGAGGGGACATGGTGGTCAGAGCTGCTGAGACACCGAGAGAGAGGTAGGTAGGTGTGGGAGACAAAGGGACACTTCCCATTTCCACACTCTTTGTAACAATCCCAGCTACCAGAACGCGCTCCCCGGCTCTCTGGTCCCTAAGGGAAGCCGTTGGGCAATATGTGTCTGCCTGTCACAAGTGTATGGGCACAGCCTGCAGATTCTTCTCAGCCAGTCCCCAGGAGGTGTCTAGGAGAAGGGAGGGCACAGCTGAGACGCAGGAATGGAAGAGGAGGGGTGCCCTGCGTGGGGGCAGCGAGGGTGCCCCCCACTCCCCCCAGCAGCTGGTGGAGGCCACCTGAGCTCTCGGAGGATCTCTTCCAAGCCGGTAGGTGGCCGTCCTTTGATGCGGAAGGACACACCCCAGAACCTGGGTTTAAGCTTGGCTCCTCTACAAGCCCACGGAGCCACCTATCCTCCATCAAGCTGAGGGCGGAGGACCCAACTGCCCGTTGCCCTGTGACCTTTTAAATCTCCCTGCAAGACAATGGATGAAGAGGGGGCCGGAGTGGAGAGAAAAGGTGCTTTTCACTGAAATAGGATTAAAAGCTGACGACTTAACACGTGTGCAGACGAGTCACGGCTGGCTCAGTGATGACAAGCTCATTGTCTCTGTGGAGTGACATGGGCAGTCAGCCCTCTCTGGAGCTGGACACTGTCCCTGCCCCCACCAGAGAAAGACTGGACCGTTTAAAAGAAAGGTCAGAGGGTCCACAGCCACAGACCCAGCTCTGGAGTTTTCCGAATGAAAGTGACGTAGGGGTCACAGGGATGAATCTAGAAGCGCTGAGCCCAGATCTACAAGGCTGATGGCCTGAGAGTGACAATACTCCTGAACTGGATCCCACCCATGTCTGGAGGGTCTGGGCTGGGCAAGTTCACACTGCAGGCCTTCCTGCCCCCTGAAGTCTGAAAAGCGGTTTCAGGATCCTGGAGCTGTTCAAATACTCCTAATGGGAAAATGCTGAGCCCTGGGCAGGTGGCCACAGGGGCTAGTGTAGGCGTCCCTGGCTGGCCGTCCCTGGGATCTCTTGTATTTCTGAGATCTGACCAATGAAGCCGACACTATTTTCTATCAGGGAGTGACAGAGCTATATTCAAAGAAGATAAAGGAATTCTTGGGTGTCAAAAAGGTGGTTACTACAGCACTGGTGACTGCAGAGGTCACTCCGAAGTCAATGTGGGTATGTCCTGAAAGGTCAAGGCTACCCAGTTGTACAGACATGCACAACATGGGGGTACGGGGGATCAATCTGGTAGATATCAGGGGTTTGTAATTTTTTCACAACATTTTCTGTAAAACAGCAATAAACTGCCTTATTCTAACAAAATCAGTGCATTGGGATGTTTTTATACTCAATAGGGGCCAAATGCCCAGGGAGCTCTCCATTTTCTACCTTTTGCAGAGGCACATGCAGGATGGTGGAGACCCCGAGCGTCCAGTCCCTATAGCCTTGGTGCAAACTGGATGTGCGACCAGAGGCTCTGCCACTGCAAGGGCCCCGGGGCAGGTGCGGCTCCCTGTCCTCGGCTCAGGTTTGGGGACCAGCACTGCAGCCAGTGGCTAGAGCCCCCCGTCCCTCCTCAACCCCGGGAAAGTTTTCCTGCGCTCACCTCCGCGGGAAGCAGCGTGTAGGCATAGAACTGTTTCATCTTGGTCACCAGATCGTCCGTGGAGAACGTCACGTACTCCACAAACTTCCGGTTCAGCAGGAACCAATCGGAGCCGCCGTCCACCGAGATGCCCTCCGGGATCCTGCGATCCCCGAGGCGCCACATGTGCGCGTCGCACTCCAGGAAGAGCCGGTCCAGGCCTTGTTTCCGGATGAACCTGGGTGAGACGAGGTGGCCCTGAGCCCAAAGGTGCCCTGGTCCACCCAGAGCCCAAATGCAAACAAACAAACAAAAACCCTCATAGCCACAGCAGGATTTTTCGGGCACATCCTGAGCTCCAGGCGCAGAACCAGGGTCAGTTTGCGTTTGCGTCTTGGCCTCGCAGGGAAGCGGGGCGCGCTGCCCGTGAGGCAGGTTCCTGGGTGGCCCCACTTCACGTCTGCGGCCACCGAGGCGCAGAGAGCTCAGGGTACCTGCCCGGCACCATCGAGGCCACGAAGGTCAGCTATGCCTGCTTCCTCCCCAGAGACCTTTCAAGGAACCTGCTTGGGCCAGGCTGTCGTGGTGGACGCAGCCTGTGCCCTCATCTCAGGACGGTGCTCTCGGATGCAAGTGCTCCACCCCCGAGCCACACCCCCAGGCCGCGACCGCTTCTTGATTGACACGTTATACACCCCATTGCAAAATACCAAACGTAGGATGTTTCATTGTGAACACATGAAACAAGAGATCATGGCAGATCTAATACCTACTGTAATAATAATAATAATAATAATAATAATTATTATTATTATTATTATTATTATTTTGCAGTGCTGGGGATCAACCGGGGACCTTGTGCATGCCAGGCAAGCGCTCCACCTCTGAGGGACACCTGTAATTTTGCAGAAGAGCGAGCATAAGGGGTCTATGCCATCTCTGCCGTCATATGAAACACATGATTGCTGCCCGTGTCCAACTCAGCTACTGTAAGTACTGCTGCGTTTGGCATCGATGTCCAGTTAGACTTCGGAGGAAGTAAAGGTATGGCTTTGTTCCCATCCAGGCCACAGACCCCTGAGTGCTCCCCGTGAACCCCCCGATCAGGAACTTCTACTCCAGGAGGTAAATGGAGGTCTGGTCATCTCCCTTAGGACCCCGTGAAGCAGGTGGGATAGAACTGGCTTTTCCTGTTTTGTGGATGCAGAACCCAGAGCTCCTCAGGGGGCAGAGCTGCTGAGACAGGAGTGTTCACTGTGAATGTTTATGGTACACCTACTGAGTGCCAGGCACGGTGCTGGGCCCTCGTGGGGGTACTAGAGAAGCAGGGAGGGTCCCTGTACCAGGGAACTAGTCGTTAGGTTGGGCTCTTATAGCCCAGAGGTCTCCAGGCCCAGGAACCCTGCTTCTCCAGCCCATGGAGCCCCCTCCCTCACATCCGGGAACCTGGGCTGCTCTAGTCCATCTCAGCAACGCCCCTTCTGAGCACCCTCTCCCGTTCCCCTGCCCCAGCTCCCGGTGCACACCAGCCTCTGGCGCCAGCTTTTGTGCGGGCCTGAAAATCTCCCCCCCAGCTGGGTGACTTTGGAAGGTGAGGCATCCTCTCTGGGTCTCAGCTTTCCTCTTGGCATAATTGCAAAGTTGGGCTAGATCTGGATTTGAAGTTAGATGCCGGCAGCCATTGGCCAGCAAGGAGAAACGGAAACCGTGAAGAGGCTCAGATGACCCGAGCCACGGTTCCCACCACGGAGGGGTAGAGAGTGCGCATTCCGAGAGGCACTCACAGGCCTTGAAGAAAAAGCATTTCTGGGTAAATAAAACCTCTCTAGGCTGAATTCTGACCGTAGGACCCAGTCAGGATTACAGCTGGAAGTCACTGTTACACCCAGAAGTGGGTGTGGGGCAGGCGTCACCTTCCAGATGTGGACAGAGAAGCCCAGAGAAGGCTGAGGACTTTTCCAAGGATGCACAGAGGACTCAGCCCCAGGGCAGAACCATCTGGAAGGCCCAGGTATCCAACCTCCTGGTCTCATTCTTACCTAGTGCATCTTCCGCATGTAAAATGAAGCGCATTAGCAAAGCCGTGTCCTTGCTGGGGAGGGACTTGGTGAGGGTTTTTCATCACGGTCACAGTATCACTGCGTGGAGACACAACTGGACTTTCAAGCAAGCCCCGAGTTTAGGAAAGGGAGATCCTACCTCGGCTCTGGCTAGTGCTGATGTTGCAATAATGCCCAGTGGGTGCACGGAACTGTGTTGCAAACTTTAGATTTTAGATGACTTGTATGAAAACTTATATGGAAATCATACTGTGAGAAAGAGGGGAGGAGGAGGAGGAGGAGGAGGAGGAGGAGGGGGAGGGGGAAGGGCAGGATTCCTGTAGAGAAGAGAAAGAAACTTTTCTAGTAATTTGCTCCTTCCGGGGCTCAGCTTTTTAATTTCATGTTCCATTATATGGGATAATGTCATTGCCTTGCAATTTTAATGTGACGTCCCAGGCCATAATATCCAAATACAATATTCATGCAGTCATCTCCAAAATGAAATATTCATGGCATCGGGAGATTGGTCTCTTTATTTACTGAATTCAAAAGCTGATAAGCTGCAAATATAGGCTTTGGTTAATTATGAATAAATAGAGACAGCCAATTCCCCAGATCTCGGAAAAGTTTCCGGGGTCACAGGGGCTACCAAAGACTTTCTTTTGGCCCGGAAGAAGGTGGCAGAGACCCGGAGTCAGGGTACCGACCTGGAGAGGGGAATCAGCGGTCTGGGCTGGGAGAGGCTTTATTTTCCTGCGTTTTGCAGGAAACGTCCAGAACTTGGAAAGAAGGTGCTAGAGAGCAAGACAAGTCCGTAGGCACGCCCCTGGGATGCGCCTCATAGATGCTGGCTCATGTCCCCTAGGGAGACAGCCGCAGGCCCAGTGCACAGAAGAGGACCTTTCATTTCCCATTGCCATGGCTACCTTGGGGTCAAATAGAGTGACAGGGGGCATCATGGCAGGGCAGACACCAGGCACAGGTGGTGGGTCCTTATCCTGCCTCTCACGTAAGATGAGCCCCATGAAGCCGGACAGTTCCCAGGATGAAGTGTCGTTCTCAAAGGACCTTGCAAAGTGTGATCATCGCCACCAACCCAAGCAGTGGGGCGATGGTGACGTCTCTCTCCCATTCCCGGCGTCTCGGACGCTCGTTCATGCTTAACGTTTTTACCCAATCACTTCTAACTTTCTAATACAACATCCAGGTCTGGGTTCATCATCTATTTCTACTCACTAGACATGAGCCCTCAGATGGCAGAGATTTTGAATCTGTTTTTGTTCACTGCTGTGTCCCTCACACCTAGAATAGTGAGGTGAGATGCTCAAGTAATACTTATTGATGAGTGAATAGAGGGAAGGGGAACTGCTGGACCACCAACAGACACGAGTAGCCAGGTATCAGAGCCTCCTAACGCACTCAGCAAACAAAAGAACTGAATCTCAGAGAGGTTAAGTAATTTCCCCAGAGTGGCACAGCAGCCAGTCTTGGACCTGAATCCAGGTGTGGCTGAATCCAGCGCAAACTCCTAACGACCCTGCCATCCTTCCCTGTCCCCATTCGCCAGGGTCCCTCCAATAGAATAGAAATAAAGAATCTGAGGACGTCTGCCTCCCAAAGATGGTGCTCTGAGATGAGAGAGAAGCTAGAAACAGGTCTCCTTGTTGGTTTTGGAAGAGGCTTTTCTGATGACCTTGTGAGGACCTGTCTTCAGAACGGGCAGGCGACGAAGGAGGACAGCATGGAACCGTTCGCACTCAGTTTTACATCCTGGGCTCTCGTGGCGTCCCTTGAAGGGGACATTGGAGCCCCAGCCCTGTCCCTTCCCCTGTCCCTTGTGCTGCCTGGCCACCGACAGCTGAGCAGCTCTGCCCCATCATGACCCCTACCTCCCCCGGAGCCAGCTGACCGTGGACCAGAACCTCTGAGCCCAGGAGCCAAAATAAATCTTCCCTCTTTTTAAGCTGATTTTCTCAGATCGTGTCACAGCGATGGAAACCAACGCAGCCTCCAACCAACGCGACTAATTCCACAAATGAAAACCAAACCAAACCCGAGCCCCAGGGAGAACGGATGAGAGACACAGTCACACCGCCTAGGGGAAAGTCTCCTATCCTCCTGTTTTCCTGTCCAGTGATCTGACACTGAACCCTCGTTCCTCCCTCAGCACCAGCACAGCCTATGCATTTTGGTGAAGAAAAAAAAATAAAGTCACAGAATGAAGCATAAAGAAGCACAAGGTAGGAAATCAGCCGGTGACTTGAATAGGGACACCACTGTAACCAGGGACTCCCGGGCTGCTGACCTCGGTGCCCTTAGCTGTGAGCTGCTTCAGGATCTCATGTAGAGAGGGGTGACTGCGATGGGCCCACACCAAGGTCAGGTGCGAAGGTCGTAATGAGACTATGGGGCGGGGATGGTGGGGTGGGGCTCGGCGGGTCGCCCAGCACAGGTGAGCGCTCCGTGGACCCCCGGGCCCTCCCGTGCTCCTGCACCAAGTGGGAGTCTTAACCTCTGCCTCTCTTCTGGGGTTTGGTAGACAGGTGGGTCGGGCACCCCCCGGCTAAAGAGAAGCTGTGTCCAGGAAAGCAGAAGGACTTCAGCACCAAGGACAGCGCCCAAGGCCCGGGACCCCGTTTCCCCCAACTGTTTTAGCAACACCCACCGTTGTGGCAGGGGAGGAGGTGACCAGTGTCATGGCCTGCAAGGACCCAGCTCACTGGGTTCTGAGCTTGGCAGCTCCAAGGGACCCGCCCAGGCTCAGGGTGGCTGTGCCCTCCTGACCAGGGTGGAGTCACCTGTCACGCCTCTGCTCTGCAGCAGCTAGAAGAGCCCAGGGACTTGGGACAGCCACACTGTCCGCAGCTCTGGAGAGCATCTTGGATGTTCCAGGCCCTGGTTTGTGTGCTGAGAATGTGGCTGAGGATCAGGTGGGAATCATCCCTGCCCTTCTCTCCCTTCTAGGGGGAGAAAAAACGTAAATACTAACAGTTATCGTTTCTTGAACGCAGACTACATCCCACTCAATGTATATTCTCTTATTCAGTCTTCACTTCAGCCCACGAGGATTCATTTTACAAATGAAAAAAACAGAGACAGAGAGGTTAAGTAATCTTCCCAAGATCACACAGCCAGTCAGTGGCAAGGATAGGATTCAAACCTTAATAAGTCAAGGTGGGGTCGGGCCTTCAGAAGG